TAAGCTTTATAGTTTGTCTTTCATTGGCAATATTTCCAATAAATAATCATTTGGGATTATTTGGAATATACTTTAAGAACTCTATGAGAGGCTCTTCGAAAGGTTCATGGATAATGAGTATTATACAAAAAACTATGCATGAATTTCAAAGTTTTTTGAACCAAAATAATTACTTTAATTCCACTTTTTCACAAACTTCTTGAGTCCCCTTGTAAAAATGTCCGTGTACCTTGACTCAGTCTATATTTCCACTCATAACAATTTTTCTAAAAAAAAAATACAAATATTCATAAGTACCCCATGTGCTTTGTAAGGGTGAACAGTCAAGGACAGGCATCAGAAAGCTAAAAAAAGGAAATGGTTGAATAAATTACAGTGCATCACTTCATCTAAAATGAGAATTACAGGAAGGAGGTAGCCTGTAATTCTCTGACGGCGTTAAGTGAAAAGAGCAGTTAGAAATTGAATCTCCGTCATTTTGGTACCCCAACCATTACGTAAATTTAGGATTAGCAGGTGGAGAACGATGTAGGATTTTAGGCTGCTTTTCTTTCAATTTGATTTTCTTTTTTTAATTGCTAAAAGGCACATGTACTTACCAGAGAGGGACAAAGAGACAGAGACGGAGAGGAAGAAAGCACCCCTAAATGGAGTGTGATCATGCTGCAATCCCTTCTCCTCCACGTCTCCATTTTGTTTGTATTTTGGGCACAGATGCACATCCACCTGGTGCATTTTCAAGCCCCCAGGCCAGGAGCCTAACCTTAGTCACACATAAGATCCAGCCCCCTTAAACACTAGGCTATAGTACTGGCCCTCTTTAATTTTTAAATTTTTAGTGTATTTATTCTTTTATTTATTTATTTTTGTAGGTTTTTGTTATAGGGCATGTATGCTTGCTGGGGAGAGAGACAGAGAGAGAGGGAAAATAAGAAATCTCCCAGTGAGGGGATGGCCACACAGCAATCCCTTCTCCATTCTCTTCCTGGGATTTTGGGCAAGCACACACATGCACCCAATGTGATTTTGTTTGTTTGTTTGTTTGTTTTTTGGAGAGGTTTGTTCACTATAGGGCATGTGTGCTCGCCAGACAGACAGAGAGAGACAGAGAGACAGAAAGCGAGAAATCACCCCCCGGGGGATGGTCATGCTGCAATCCCTTCTCCTCCATTCTCCTCTCGGGATCTTGGGCATGCACACACATGCACCCGGCGTGAGTTTTAAGCCACCGGGTCCGGGACGTGAACCGTGGTAGACTACGTGGGAGTCCAGCGACAGTCATTACACTAACTGCTGGTTCCCCCCAATGTGACTTTTCAAGTTGCCAGTTCCAGTACTGGAACCACAGTTGGCTATTTGGGAATCCAGTGCCTTAACCAGCCTACCACCTGCTGACCCTAGTTTAATCTTTTAAGGATAGCACATGAATGTGCACATAAGAGAAAAAGAGAGGTTGAGAGGCACGCTCAAAGGATCTTGTCATGCCACAATCCTCTTCTCTGAGCCTTCCAACAACTCGGGATTTTCGGCATGCATGAATGCCCCCAGCAGGCTTTCAGAGCAACATAGGGATCCGAACTACAGTCAGACACATGGCTTCCAGCACTGCAGTTCATTTGCTACCAAATGCATCACCAGACAGGGCCTTGATTTCTGTTTTGACAGTGCACAGGGATGAAGTTGGGCACAGAGTTGGGCAGAGCCCATCCGTCTTGGAGAGAGGGGTTTGTGTTTTCCACTAGCAAGCTTGAATGTCATCCAGAGAGAGAAATGATCAGAGTTGTGCTTTCTAGCCTTTGGAAGGCTGCTAGATGGAGAACAAATGGAAGGAGATGAGTGTGCCCATTAGAAGACTGGCCGGTTAACAGACTTGACCCAAGCTGTAGCTGTGCCTTTTGTCTTGAGAGGAACAGAGGGGTTCGTGACAGGGGCATTAGTTATCCTAGCACTTGTACTAGCACTTTCACATTCTTGAACTATGATTCCAGTGTGATTTCATTCTACATACGTATTCATCCTTCAGTACATCTTTAACATGCTTGCTTACATGAATCCAATCTGTTTCAGGAGTATTTGGAAAACTCTGGTTCAAAATCCTGTCAACTTTTAGTCATGAGAGAATTAGCAATGTTGCACACTCTTATTGTGTGTTATACTTAAGTAGTCATGGAATTGCTTTGAAGTCTGGCTGCCTTTGAGATCATCATATTATAATATTGTCTACCCCTTGTATCTGTCACAATAGATGTTTGCTGAGCATTCACTGCATTTATATATAGTTACACTTCTAAGTATCATCCAAAAATTTATTTATGTCCTGTCTGGTTTCAGAAATAATTTTTTTTTCAGTTTTGCCACAGAGCATGTGCCCATGCCAAAGAGGTGAGGTCAGGGAAAGAAAAAGAGAAATCACCCTCCCCCCAGGGGAATGGCCATGCCACAATCCCTTCTCCTCCATTCTCCTCTCAGGATCTTGGGCACTCACGCACACATGCCCAGTGTGAGTTTAAGCCACCGGGTCCAGGACTCAAACCACGGTCAACTACATGGGAGTCCAGCAACATAGCGAAAGAAAAAGAGAAATCACCCTCCCCCCAGGGGAATGGCCATGCCACAATCCCTTCTCCTCCATTCTCCTCTCAGGATCTTGGGCACTCACGCACACATGCCCAGTGTGAGTTTAAGCCACCGGGTCCAGGACTCAAACCACGGTCAACTACATGGGAGTCCAGCAACATAGCCATTATGCTAACTGCTGGTCCTGCCAGGTGTGTTTCTTAAGCTGTTGATTCTGAGACTTGAACTAACTGTGCAACTGGCCATGTGGGATCCCGCCTTCTTAACCACCACGCCACTGACCAGAAAAACTTAGTGTACTAATGCAGAAGTTATGAATCCTGGGTTTTAGGTTATTACAGACCTTTGACTCTTCTCTTTTACTTCTCTTAGCTAGTATGTCACCTTGCCATAGCCAAATCCATTGTACTCTCTAGCACTTTACTTTCCAGCCACCCTACATACTTAGTCCAGGCCCTTATCTTTCCTCACCTCCTGATCTCTTTATAAATAGTATTATAAATAGTATTACTTTAGTTTCCTAATCAATAAAATCAAATTTGAACTAAATATAGGTGCATTTAGTTTGTAATATATGAAAAATATACAAACATTATTAGTTGTTATTCTTTCCAGTTTTAAAATGCAGTGATTCTTTGACTTCCAAATAACTTTATTTACAAAAGAAGAAAAATCGTATATTGTTTTTCTTCCACTTTGTTCTATCAATAAATCAGTACATCATTTTCTTTGAATGATATAAGTTATTTAAACTAGTAAGAATCTGATTCTTAGGATTTTTATTTTTTAAGTTTGTTTCTTCTGAGAGAGAGAAAGAAAAGCACCCCCAATAGGGTCTTCATTTCATGACCCACCCCCATCCTGAGGCAGCCAGGATCATGGGCATGCATGTGCCTGGCATGTCCAGGGAGACCGCAGGGTACGAACATGGGGCCTTCAGCATTACAGAGTATTGCATTACTGCAGCACTATTGTGGCTGACCCTTCTTCTTCTTTTTTTTATTTTATTTTATTTTTTAAGTTTTGTGTGTATTTTAAAAATGTAAGAAGCTCAATGGAGTGAAAATAGGGTGATTCAAGAATGGCAACATGAGCCTAAGGAAATAAAAGGAGTCTGTGTCTATTAAATTAAACACAATTAAGCAGTTTATTTGCGTAATCATAACCCCTAACTACCACGTCAGCAAGAATAAATCTCTATGTGTCTAAGTGATTAATTTCCTACTGAGAATGACTTTGGAACACTGGAGGGGGGGATAAATAGCTTCCATGCCAAATTCATTGCCAGAGAGAAAAGTTGTAACAGCCACACAAGTGAGAAACTGAGCAAGATTAAGCAGGGCCGCTCCTTGGCCAGAGTCCCATTTTCACAGAGGCTCAACGCCAGCAGCTGATTTTTCCGCATAGAAGCCGAGTGGGTGATTTCACCCTAACCCTAGCCTGCCTTTTCCATTTCCCTATCACAGCCCATGTCCTGTTATTCTCATATCCAGCAGGATTTCTTCTCAGATGGTACTGAAACCTCCCTGTGCCCTGGTGTTTGCTGAGGGTCAGCCAGTCCTTGAATGGATGCCTACCCTGATGGGTCCTTTTTCTTCTCATTGGAATCCACCATTCCAGCATCTCTCCTAGGGTGGTGCAAACATTTGAAGGCGCTAACCACTGAAGGTGCAGTGGTTTAGCCTTTTGGAGAGTAGAAATGTTCACATATTGAAATGTTCATTTGCAAGCTAAATAATGTAATTGAATGTATATTAAAAAATTTTAAAAATAAATTTAAAAAAAATCAAAAAAAAAAAAAAAGCTAAACAACCAGTCAAAAATTGGCCAGAAGGGAACCAGCAGTTAGTGTAATGGCTATGTCGTTGGACTCCCACGTAGTCGACCACGGTTCGCGTCCCGGACCCAGTGGCTTAAAACCCACACCAGGCGCGTGTGCGTGCGTGCCCAAGATCCCAAGAGGAGAATGGAGGAGAAGGGATTGCAGTGTGACCATCCCCCCTGGGGAGTGATTTCTTGCTTTCCGTCTCTATGTCTCTGTCTGTCTGGCGAGCGCACGTGCCCTATAGCAAAAACCTCTCCAAAATAAAAATAAATTTAAAAAATTTTTAAAAATTAAAAAAAAAAATTGGCCAGCAAATTTAGATGGCTTGGGACCTCCCAGATCCAATGGTGGTGGGAGTAGGGGTGGGGAGGCAGTCACAGAGCCCATAAGAAGGATCCCAGGTTTCCCAAAACACCTTTCAGGCATAACTTTATTTTGCACAAAATGAGTCTCAGCACTATAGTTCTTCATTTGTAGGTTTTTAAAAATAAGTTAAATGCTATTTACCACTGACTGCTTAAAATTCTGGCTTGAATGTACCATTTGGATAAAGAAAAATGATGTTTCATCACTCTAACCCTGGGGTTTTGTGTTTCAGGTCCGACTACAGCCACCTGTCCTCCACTAGCAGTAAGTACCTTTTAAATGTCCTTCAGTGTTCTCTTCCCTGTCCCCTGAGGGGTCAGTATCCCAAAGGCCATTTACAGAGCATATGTTTTAATAGTACAGAAAAGTTGCTAAGTGTCTCCTTGTCAAAGAACAGGAGACATGATGCTCAAACTCTGGAATTGGAAGCTTTCCTGGATAATTTGATTAAGCTGGTGGAGCATCCCTAATCCAGAAACCCAAAATTTGCTCCCAAACCTGAAGCTTTTTCAGCACCAACATGAGGTCAGGATTGGAAATTCTTGTGGAGAAGAGCACCCATGCGATGGGTGGCATAAAAACACTGCAGCACAGGCCGGCAGGTGGCATGGTGGTTAGGGTGCTGTTTCCCATGTGGTTAACTCCAGTTTGAGTTCTGAACCCAGTAGCTTGGAAAACACACTGAGCAGGTGCACACGCGTGCTGAAAATTCGAAGAGGGAAATAGAGGAGAAGGGATTGTGATATGGCCATCCCTCCTTGATTGGGGAACAAGGGAGTGACTTCTAACTTACCATATCTCTCTCTGTCTCTGTCTGTCTCTCTCCAGCAAGTACACAGGTTATATGACAGAAATCTAAAAAAAAAAAAAAAAATGGCGGAAATACAAGACTATTGTTTAAAATTATCTTCAGGCTGTCTGTATATGACATATATAAAACATAAATTAATTTTAGGTTTAGACTTGGGTCCTATCCCCAAGATACCTCATTATATATATGCAAATATTCCTTTTTGTGTGTGTGTGGAGAGTTTGTTTGTTTGTTTGTTTGTTTTTGTTTTTTTGTTTTGTTTTTTTGCTATAGGGCACATGTGCTTGCCAGAAAGACAGAGAGAGACAGAGAGACAGAAAGCAAGAAATCACCCCCCAGGGGGGATGGCCTTGCTGCAATCCCTTCTCCTCCATTCTCCTCTCGGGATCTTGGGCACGCACACACGCACCCGGCGTGAGTTTAAGCCACCAGGTCTGGGACTCGAACTGCAGTCGACTACATGAGAGTCCAGCGACATAGTCATTACGCTAACTGCCGGTCCCCGATATATATGCAAATATTTTGAAATAAAAAAAAATTCAGAATCCAAAACATTTCTGATCCCAAGCATTTTGGATAAGGGATATACAATCTGTACCTTGATTTCAGGCCTAGATATGCCACTGCCTTCCCTACAGAAATCCAGCCTAAGCAATCTAGCCCAGACTTGAGTAGCTGCTTATGGATGATTCTAGGAACATGATGCTGAAGAATCTGAATTTACCCCACCACAAACATCTATCAAAGACCTAAAGGCCAACAGAAAGCTCAGAACATGGTTACTGGATCCATGGGAGGCTCCAAATCATCTGCTGGCAAATTTCTTCCCATGTATCTGCTCTGCAGTATGGAGGGAACATTCACCTTTGACAAAATCTTGCAAAGTATGTTAATAGCAATACTGTTGTAGGGACCAGCAGATGGTGTAATGGCTACGTTGTTGGGCTCCCGTGTAGTCAACTGCGGTTGAGTCCCGGACCCAGTGGCTTAAACTCACGCCGGCTACATGTGCAGGGCAAATTTCTTCCCATGTATCTGCTCTGCAGTATGGAGGGAACATTCACCTTTGACAAAATCTTGCAAAGTATGTTAATAGCAATACTGTTGTAGGGACCAGCAGATGGTGTAATGGCTACGTTGTTGGGCTCCCGTGTAGTCAACTGCGGTTGAGTCCCGGACCCAGTGGCTTAAACTCACGCCGGCTGCATGTGCAGGTGTGTCCGAGATCCCAGGAGGAGAATGGAGAAGGGATTGTGGTATGGCCATCCCCACTGGGGGGTGATTTCTCACTTTCTGTCTCTCTCTTTCTGGCGAGCTCATGTCCCCAAAACCTCTCCATATAAATAAGTAAATTAATTAATTTAAAATAAAATAATAAAAAAGCAATACTGTTGGAGGTTTTAGTTAGGGAATTTAGCTCATTTTTCCTCTTAAATATAGCTAAAAGGAATATAGACGTTATTATCTATCTTCCTGTATTTGTAATTCCCGGCTTGTAGGTGATTATTATATATAGTAAGAAAAAAATTATTGGAACTATTTATAGACAGACACTCTGAGCATAAAAAGGTGTTTATATTTAATATTAAAGTATAGAAGTATTCATAGGAATTTATGCCTCAGATCTAGCAAGAATTCATTGTAGTTAAGATGACTATATAAATGACCAAAGCCATTCAGATTGCTTGAACAAAAATAATTATCTTACAATAAAAGCCTGATTTTTTGAATCAGTAAACACTGATTGTTTTGCCCTATCTCACTATCCTATTAAACTCCCAATTCTCAATAGTTCCTAAATGGAGAAATGCTTAATTGGATTATTCTGTTTATTGATGTTCTGGCTTAGTTTTCTTTTGTAATAAGAGACTGTGAAGAGAGTTGTATATCTGGGTTTGTAATTTAGTGTCAAATTATATTTAGTTATTAGTATAACTTGCAGTGAGCAATTTCTGATTGTTTCAGCCAACTGGAGACCAAACATTGCCCCTTAGTTATTAAGAACCATTAGTAATCATGAGAATAACGCTCCAGTGACTTGCTCTTATTTCCTCAAGCTTTTGTATTCCTAAAATCAGAGAAAGCCCTCTGGACTGCTCTCTCTCTCTCTGCCGCCATTTTCATTCTACTCAGTTTTGCCCAGAGGCTACATTTCTTTAAAGATGATTTTTCTAAATACTTGCCTGAAGCCTTTGCTCAATTTGTAGCTCTCAAATCAGTCCTCCGGGTCACAACAAAGCACCTCTCTAGTCAACGAAACCCATAATTTGTTTGGGGATGTTTTCCTCTCCATTATTTTAATTGCAGTCTCTAAGTTGGAATTTCTCTTAGTGCAGCTGGGATCAGTACTGTTATTTCTCTTTCTTCTTACTTTCGATACTTGGCGGTTCTTGCCTCGTTCTTCGACAATGAGGCCTCTTGGTGAGTATGTATGTATGTTTCAGCTAGGAAGTGTATTTGGCTACAAATGGAGAAAAGTAATGACTAAACAGTAGGGATTTATTTTCTTGTTTTTCTTTTTTTTTAGTTTTCTGCTATAGTGCACTTGTGCTTAACAAAGAGAGACAGAGAGGGGAAATGAGAAATCGCCCCCTCAAGGAGGATGGCCATGCCGTAGTCCCGTCTCTTTCATTCTCTCAGGATTTGGGGCACACATGTACACACACCCAGAGTGATTTTTTTTTTCTTTCTTTTTCTTTTTTTTGAGAGATTTTTGCTATAGAGCACATGCACTCACCAGAAAAACAGAGAGAGACAGAGAGACAGAAAGCAAGAAGTCAACCCCCCCCCCCGGGGGGGGAGCGCCAAATCACTTCTCCTCCATTCTCCTCTCGGGATCTTGGGCACGCACGCACACACGCCTGGTGTGGGTTTAAGCCACCGGGTCTGGGACTCGAACCACGGTCAACTACATGGGAGTTCAGCGACATAGCCATTACACTAACTGCTGGTCCCACCCAGTGTGATTTTTCAAGCTACTAGATCTGGGCTAGACTCCCAGTTGACCACGTGGGAGTCTAGCACCTTAACCACCAATCCACCTGTTGGCCTGGGATTTGTTTTCTTCTAACATTAAAAAAGAAATCCAAAGAGGTTGTATAGTTCTGATGTGGAAGCTCCTTTAATCATTCTGCTACACAATTCTTGACTTTTGGGTTTGATCCTCAGGATTGCCTCAGAATTATATATGACTACCTCCACCACAGCCACCACATCCTACCCTAAAGAGAAAGGTAGAAGGTACCTGCCAGTTGAGTCATCCCCATTTTTTTTTTTCAGAGATTTTTGCTATAGGGCATGTGCATTCACTGGAGACACAGAAAGCCAGAAACTACCCCCCAGAGAGAATGGCCATACTGCAATCTCTTCTCCTCTACTTTTCCTCCCAGGATTCTGGGCACGAGTTTCAAGTTGCCAGGTCTGGGACTTGAACCATGGTCAACCACTTGGGAGTCCAATCCCTTAACGACTTATGCTAACTGCTGGCCCCCATCCTCACTTTTTAAGGAGATTTGTTTTCCTAAACAGACTATCCAGTATTTTCTCTTATCCCTATTGGCAAGCTCTTCATCACATACTTATCTCCAGCTACAAGGAATCTATAAAATGTTTGTTTTCTTTGGCTACATTGCTATCACCAGTATGCTTCTGTTAGTAAGGAAGAAACGGACCCTGGCCTGCTTCTCCATTCAGTCAGGGGTGTAAAACTTGGCCCTAAACCCATTCAAGAGAAAGCCCTTTGAGCAGTCAGTGAAGCTAACAGAATGGATTCCTTCTGAAGAGAAAAAAATAATCTAAGTCTAAAGTCTTAAATCTATCCTTTACAATATAGGTTTTGCATAGCCCAGAATGCACTACTAAGATTCTGAGCTCCATGGGCTGAGGCTACATGCAAGGCCTGGGTTCAATTTCCAGTCCAATCTAAAGGCTGGACTCCCACAAACCCAGCATCTTGGGAAGGCTGAAGCAGAAGGATCACAGGCTCATGGTCAGCCTGAAGAACATAACAAGACCTTGTCTTAAAAAAAGGAGCAGGGAGGTGGCCCCATAGTGCAGTGGCTAATCCCTGTGTAGAGAAAGCTGTATCCCATATGACCAACCAGGGTTCAAGTCTCAGCTCCAGTGGCTTGAAAAACACATCACCAGGCATGTTCATTCATAGGTGTTCAGGATTCTGACAGGATGGAGAATTAGAGGAAAAAAGGATTGTGTCATGTCAGGTCCCATTGAGGATCTCTCTGTTTCTCTCTCTCTCTCTCTCTCTCTCTCTCTCTCTCTCTCTCTCTCTTCCTCTTATATGCACATGTGCCCCTGCATTAAAAAAAAAAAAAAAAACAGGAGGGAGTGGCCTAGGTGGGCCTGGTAGCTTATGCCTGTGGTCTCAGCTGGAAGGCTGGGGCAAGAGGGTTGGACATAGTGAGACCATGCCTTAAAACAAAAAGTGTGTGTGTGT